TGCTTCAGCCTAACATATGCTGCGCATCCGCATATTCCCCGACTTTATGAAAGACGTATAAGCAAAGGCCTTAATGAGCCGCCATTTTGGGGCAAAATCATATAAGTCATACTTTAATATTAGGCCGGGGAGCGGAGGGGCAAGGCGGCCGTGCGCTCAGCCCTCCGCCAGCAGGACACGCTGCCTCCCCCTTTCTTTGGGTTTTACTTTGGGTATTTTGGGGTTGTTTTTTTTTTTGGGGGGGGGAGGTTAAGCTGAAGTGCAAGTTTGCCTCAAATCTGCAATCACTTCGCCAAAGTTGTTGCTCCTCTCCCCCTGCTTTCTTTTTTCTTTTCTTTTCTTTTCTTTTCTTTTCTTTTCTTTTCTTTTCTTTTCTTTTCTTTTCTTTTCTTTTCTTTTCTTTTCTTTTCTTTTCTGCTCTTGGCTCTACGATATTTTGGCAGCAAATTCTCCGCCGGAAGCGGAGAGGTGCTTCAGGAGGCCGAATTTAATCACTTTTCGCCCTGATTAGGAGCTACCACGGTCCCTAGGAGAGGGGATCCCAGGATTTGGGGGCGGCTGCTGCTGCCTCTCCGCCGGCAACGGCGATCGCTCCGATAAAAAAAGTTACTCGCACACAAATGAAGGAATTCACCCGGGATCCACAGGCGAGGATTAGCTCAATTGCTGGTCGACTCGAGTCCACTTGCCAAAACCACTGGCTTTCTTCTCGGCATTTTCTACTCCCCGCTCTGCCAACATCCAAGCCCGACGTCAAAAGCCGGGAGGAAAGTGCAAAATGGTCAAAAAGGCTGGATTTCCCCCTCCCGGCTATTGTTTGCCGCTCTTGCTGAGTTGTTCAGCTCAAGTTGGTTATTTACAGGCCACCGAGGAGGCTGCGCCTTTAGGACCCCTCTGAGCGCCCAAGTCAAGCTGACGTGCTTGCGAGTGGGTGCGAGTGGGTGCGTGTGTGCAGCCACGTCCAACCCAGCCAGCATCTCCGGACACTTTATTCCAGCATTTGCCCTTCCTGCAGTTTCTCCCTTCTCCTTTAACCTCCTCCCTCCCCTCCAAAAAAAAAAAATACGTACGCATTTTCTGCAAAAGTGGAAATGCTTTGCTTTGTATGCAAGCCAACATCAGTGAACATTATTATCCCGCAAGAAGCCAATTAGAAGCCTGGCCCCCCCCTCGCCTCCTTCCCTCCGGGCAATATTTCACACCAAAGTAACCCCGAGCTGCTTCCAATATGTTGGGTATGAAATCCAGGGAGGAATGGGAAACAGGTTGGGTTGGGGTGTTTGTACGTCACGCGGAAAGGTCCTTCGTAATTAGTCTGTGTGTCATTAACGTAGGCACGGAGCGAGCTTCCCAGCCTATGAGGGAGGCTTCGTTGGGACGGACATTAGCGGCAGGAATAAAGTTGAGGGCTGGAAAACCCTAAATGCGTGCTGGGAATTAAAACAAAAAAAAAAAACTTGTAAAAGTTTTTACGCCAAACAAAGTTATAAAAACTTTTCATGCGTTGAAATAGCAAAAGGTTTATAACGATAATAAAGGGTGCGCGCCGCGTGTGCGAAGCCTTCCTCGCAATGCATGAAACGCTGCGAGGCTGAGTTAAATATTAAGCATCATAAACGCCGCACGAGGTGCAAAATTTGTTTTTCTTTTTTTCCCCCCCCCTTGGATTTTTTCCCCCCTGGGGGAAAATGTGGGTCCCCCCCAACCCGGGCTCACCTCCCCCCGGGTTCCCTGGAGGCGGGGCGGCCGGGGACCCGCGACCCGCTCCCATCCCGCTTTATTACAAAGGGTTAAAGGTGATGGACTTGACTTTATTGAAGTTCAAAGACATCATATATTCACATTTTTCCGTCCTGCGGGTCTCACTCCCACCTCGACTTCCCCAACCAGGCTGCCAGGCTCGGGAAGCCCCTCGCGGTGGCAATTTGGGGCTTTCTGTGGTTAAACGGGAGCCATCCCCAAAACCCGACGCCAGACCCTCCCCCTGCTCTGCGCACATGTAAACCCACCCCCCTCCGCCGCCAGCTCCCCCCCTCCGCAGAACATTAACAGCCCTTTTCCTACATGGCACTGATGCTTAATGCTGCTGTAAACTCCCACATGGTCTATAAACTTGGATTTTACAACTGGCATTCCATTTTAGCTCGCGAAAACTTTGAACTAGGCCTACAGTTTCATTGTGCTGCAGTTGAACTGAAGACTTGCGGGGTGGGAGGAAGGAGGGGGAGAGGGAAAAAAAAATCCCTGGGCAAGGCTCCCTTATTTGTTTACTATTTACTGCGGAAGTCTTTTTCCTTTAGCCAGACGGGGTAATTAAGAAAAATTAAGCTGTTTAGTGCTGCAGTCTTTATTACAATGTCTAGACTAGCCGCTTTTGTCCGGACAGCCGCTGCTGTTACGGAGCATTAACTGCCGTTTCTGACCTCGTGATATTCACCTTATTGCACCTCTCTTTGGTTTTCCTAACCTTGGGAAGGTTTGGCAAACACTCATTAAAGAAAGGTGGTTTTCTTTTTTTTTCCCCCCCTTTCTGCGAGTAATAACGCCTTCTCCCCTGGTTGGTGCTGGAGTGCAGCAGGACCCGGCGACATCTGCGAGGAAGATGGCTCCTTAACCACATCTTGTCTATTTTTACTTTTTTGCAGCTCAGGAAAGCCCCGTGCACCCCTGCAAGGTCTCCCCCTTAGGACTAGTTTATTCAAATGGCGAAGTCTAGGCGGGATTTTAGGCCGCGGACAAGCGTCCTTTGAGATGTCAGGCTTTGCAAAAATAAATAGCGATAAAATAAAGCCCCGCTTTGCCATCCACCACCCCCTTTTTTATTATTTTTTTTCCTTCCCTACCCCGGTTTCCCACTGCCGTAATGAGAAACATGCCTGTGAACATCCTTTCAAGAGCATATCGTGGCGTAACGAGGACGGGGCTATCACGAAAGCCCAAGTTGTTTTTCATTTATTTGTGTGGAGGGGGGGTGTGTGTGTGTGTTTGTGTGCGAGTAAAGCAAGAACATTTCTGTGGGTTCTACTCTTTTTTCCCTACCGTTGTCAAATAAAATCAGAAGACACCATCAAAGCGTTTTCCTTCCACAGGGTTGTATTTAAAAGCAAGTATGAGAATTTTACAAGAACACGCTCAATGGATGGGAATATGATGTGTTGTTTCTCTGCTGCTGTTTGTTTCCCTCCCCCCTTCCTCCTTTTTTTCCCTCCTCCTCGTCCATATGCAAAATCTCATCGCTCCACATCAGAAAGCTAGAGAGCGTTCAGATTGGAAGCCTCAAATATACCCCCCCCCAAATTAAAACAACCTTCGAAATCGTTGCATTTACACAAAATACATGCACCGCATCACTAGCGGCGTCTTCTGCGTTTCTTTGTCCTTGAAAACATTGTGTTTCTTTCATAGGCTGAGAGAAAAAAAGTCATTGTGCAGACATAAAAAAAAATCACTTTTATGCCCTGTGCCTCGGAGTTGAACTTGTTTTCCTTAAGCAGGAATTTAAGTACTTGACTTTGCATTTGTGCTTTGTAGGTATAAGGTAGGTTATCCTTGACTTATGGAAATGCAGCTCTTTCTTGCTGTAATTAGAATTTCATTCATTAAAAAAAAAAAAAAAAAAAGGGGGGAAAAAAAGCTAATATAGTGTTCTCATGAAAATGCAAAAAAGATTAACTACAACCGGAAAACAGAGAAAGACATCTGGAGCCAAATTCAGAGTAGGATTACTGGGCCAAGAAAAATCCTATAAATTTCAATCCGATGATGAATACAATGAACTCCACAACTAACGTGTGCTCCAAGGTGGAGGTTTCATATTAATACCAGTCTTATTATCCCATATTGCAGCGAGCCACATGAATATGGATGATGATATTTCTGATATGTATTCAGGTATTTAAACTTCTAGAGATGAAATCCACACCACAATGACCGCAAAGAGGCTTTTAAGAGGGGAAATTCTAATAAAATGGTCAAATAAAATCATAATGTAGAACAGCTTGCAATGTCTTTATTTGCCACAGAATTTCACAGAATATCCCGGGGACTCACTTTACATACACAAAGATTTTTTTTTGTATTATTATTTTTCAGGATTATTTTCTCCTGGTGTTGTTCATTTCTTATTTCCGGAAAAAAAAACAAACAAAAAAAACGCACTACGAAATTTATTTACAAACAGTTATTGCAAATGCATTTTCGTCTAGATTCCCTCCCTCCCCACTCAAAATGAAGAAACGATACTGCATAGTATATACATATATATGTATATATGTGTGCACACTTATGACACATATATATATGCATATATATATATATTTATATAAAAGGGGCATAGAGGAGGAGGTGGAAATAATGACATTCCTTCTGCTAAGGACAGAGTATTTAAATTAGGTTTCGACAACAACCCTTGGCATGGAGAGCAGGAGACCACAAATGACTGGAGTGGGTGTGAATGTGCGCGCACACACACACACACACACACACACACACGCACACACATGTCTATGTGTGCATTCTCTCTCACTCACACACACACACACACACACACACACACACACACTCACCCCAGATGAAGAGAAGTTAACTGATCCTACAGGGAGACTTTGGCTGTTCCTGTGATAACACATCTGCATCCCGAAATCACCGCAGTCGTAATGCGCAGCACTGCGCTTTATTCAAACGGACAGGGGTGCCTAAATAATAATAATAACAATAAAAATAATAATAATAATAACAATTAAAAAAAAGAATCCCAAACTGTTTAGACAAAAACGTTAAATAAAATGTTCGTGGAATTCAAGTCCTTTCAACGGTTGGGTAACTGCAAGAATATTTCACTCCTTTTGTTACTCAGAACTGTCCCATACATACAAATATAAGTAACGAAAAGGCTTAAACTTTGAGGTTGCTTTGTCGACTCAAAGGGCAAACCCATGCTTGCAACTGTTCCTTCCTCAAGACACATACACTTCGCCAGCAGAGGGGATTTAAAAAGCTGTTCACAATAAGGGATTTCCAGAGAAATACTGCAGGCGGTCTCTGCTTAATTTTTTTTCTTTCATTCTTCTGTTCTGGAACCAAATTTTAACCTGTCGGTCGGTGAGATTTAGCATCCTAGACAACTGGAGCCTTTTCTCTTTGTTGATATAGACATTGAAGAAAAATTCTCGCTCTAGCTCTCGGATCTGGAATTTCGAATAGGGGCATCTCTTCTTCCTTGTTCTGGGAGCACCTTAAAAGAACCAGAAGGCAACGTAAATACACTAAGAAAAGGCAAAACAGAGACTCATCTTCCCAGATGATTCCTTAGATTGGGGCACACTTCGTTACTAATGCACGGGGAAATATCTGCCACCACTGAGCTGTTTGCCTGTCGTTGCTCATAGAGGTGAACTTACAGAGGAGATGAAGGACTGAGCCTCATATTTCAATTATTTTCCTCACTGCACAGGATTTAGACCCAGAAACACACCCATTTTAGGTGCAGCTATGTTATTTCCAAAGAACAGCCAGGCAGCGGGAATATTTAAGCAAGCTTTAGAGCGAGCCGATGGCTGAGGAAAACCCACACTCAGCTGCAAATCTGTTATCTGTAGAGAAACAGCATGAGCAAGGTTGGAATTATAGGCACTAGATATTATGTTCCGCATAAGTTTTTGATTAACTCCAGTCCGCGCCACACACGCAAAAAGGAATCAAAGTCAAAGAGAACTTCGCCTCCGAGCTGCAAAAAGGGGGGTTTTCTGCTAATCGCGGAGGCAAATAGGAAAACAAAACCACCCTCCCCTCTGCCAAAAAAAAAAAAAAAGAGCCCCACGCTGAACACCAGCTCGCAAAGTTGCCTGGATCCAGCATTTAAAACGCTCCTCCAAGCCTGCCGAGAAATCTGAGTGCATGCAACAAAATAATAACAAGGCGACCCAAGCAAACAACCACGTAAGGAAAAGACCCTCCTGACAAAAGCTAGACGCTCCACTAGGCTTGGAGGAGAATAAATGTCACTTTAAAAGGAAAGTCTAAGAAAACGCTCAGCCCTGAAGGAAAATCCTGCATCTTTCCCTCTTAGCACTACACCCCCAGCAAGAGAAAAGACTCCACATACCCTTTTAATTAAAACAACAACAACAAAAAAAACCCACTCTGCATGCATCTTAGTGCCTAAAAGCCAGCACAGGCAGCCTAAGTAGTGTTCTGCCCAATTGCCTTTTACCCTCAGCAACCCGGGACCAAATCCTTTTAAAACGCTCACGTAAGTTCATGATCAAAGTTAATATTTGTCACGACGGTGGTGCTTTTAAAATTTCACAGACTCTAAGACACCGTGCCTGCGCCTAACATCTCCATTTTTTTTTGTTCAAAGCGCTTTTCCCATCGTAAAAATCCTTCTCGTTTGGAAGAAAGAGCTTTGGAGGTTATAATAAAATCCTTTGAATGCTTATAAAACTCCACATAAAATTTGACCGACAAAACACGCCGGCTAGTCCCCTTAACCTTTTTTTTTTTTTTTTCCTCCTTTAACGTTTACTGCTCTACCTACTCGCGTTGCTGCTTTTGCTGCTCTCCTTGTTGACAGAGGAGGATGAGGCTGAAGAGCCGGGATTTGTGTTCTCCTCTTCGTCTTCCGGGTCCAGCCCCGGCTCGCCGCTGCCAGCGCCTGGGCTTGAGACTCGGGCTCCAGTTTGCCCTCGCTTTTCTGCAGGCAGCTCTCCGCGGGGTTTTCCGCGCCGCAATAGGCGTTGTCGAAGAAGCGGTCGAAGCCCTGGGGCAGGACGGTGTTTTTGCTCATGCCGCCGTAGAAGCCCGCCGAGGCCGGGGGGTTGGAGCTGGGGGGGGGGGGGTGGGGGGGGGG